TCTCCATATTCGAGCGTATCATTGAATAAATAGGAAAGTCTACAAAAAATAAATGATAATGGACAAACATAGATGGTAAAAAAAGCAGCAGATTGTGTTGTAAAGATGTTTCATGGGATTAAAAGTAATTTCAATACGTTCAACTTAAGATGAAAGCACTTTTAATATTTCCTCTGAGTATTAGAATTTAATAGACAAAGGTTTCCTAACCAACAAAAGCAATTGACTTCACAAAAAGAGAAATTATAGTTTCAAGTCCTGGAAAACGAGAAATTGAAACTTTTTCGTTTATTAGTCTTCACAGAACTTTCAAACAGACGAAGAACTAGGTTTAAATATTTAGAACCTGGCAAAACTTTACCCAGAAGACTAATGTAAAAATGAATTTTCTGATGAAGTTGGGCATTATTTTTCCGTAAAAAGAAATATTTTAGCGAGCGAAAAGCTTGTCAAACTTCTAAATGAAGTTTATGCAAAGTTATTCAATATTTCCGCGAATATATGTTTCACTTATAATCTTTTTGATATTGCCCGTTTCAACATCTGAAGGTGAAAGATAATTCAGCAAGTTAGATGTCATTAAATATTTTCTTTGTTCCTAAATGGACCAGAAGACCATTTTATAATTAACTCACGTAAATGTTGTGTTCTTTGGAACACCATATTTTTAAGTAAACTTTTTGTTAGACATCCTTTTCTCGTTTAATGGAACTCTCCCTCACTTTTAATAAAAATAAATCTTCTAAACATTTCTAGAAATGCTAATGACAAAAAATTTATTCTCCATAAAAACACTCAATAAATTTTTAACACATCATTATCACTGTCTTAAATTATTCTTTAAATAATTTTGTCTATTTTTTTAAATTATAAAAGTTTTTAGCTTTTCCCTATTTTTAAACCTGTTTTGTTACCTTTTTTTCTACTCCTTATCTTTCTGTTTTATATTTGTATGCGTATACGAACCTGTTTTTATATTTATGTCTGTGCGTATTAGAATATGCAAATGTGTAAATATATTTATAATATATTTACTTATTTATATGTGTTTATTTAATACATATATGGTTGTATATATACCACTAGCTCCATAACGGCAAATCCTTTTATTCCCCATTTGTAGGGCTTATTTTTTAAATATTGCTTCAGCAAACTTCTTTTCTTAAATGGTACAACAAAATCATCTACGGCATTGTATTAATCTGGTTCTATTTTGCTCAAAATAGAAACAAATGCATCAATGAATAGCTGTGTTTTGAATAATTTTTCATCACTTTTATTTTGAAAATTATCTTATAGAATGTTCTAGGCACATATCGTGTCTCATGTGCCTAGAACATTCTATAAGATAGCATTTGTACGATACCAGCCAACAAATGAGTAGCCAAAAAATTTTCAATTTTATTTTTATTAGTGTTAATGGAACTTCCTGCTTTTTGTACCGAATATAAATTTGTTTGAAATATCATATCATGAATTATTTTGTCGTCAACAAACAATTTGAAATATTCCAAAGGTGTTAGATTTTCCTCTGGCATATACTTTATTGAATGTAGTATTGACTTTTGATATGTCTTCCTTTTTAGCGTCATATTTTTTTTGATTTTTTTTTTATTAGATTTGTTTTCTTGAGCTTCATCCTGTGCTTTCTGTACATCTTTTATATTTTCCGTCATATCATTTTCATATTATTATATTTTGCATCAAAGTTTCTTCTTCTTCCACCGATTTTTTTATTATTTTGTTTTGTAACAAGCATTCTTTCTCTTCTTCTGTATAGGGAAAATCTTTAAAATGTTTTTTTTGAATTTTAAACTTGATTACTAATTTTCAACTAATTTATTATCTAATAAATTTAAGTACATAACTATTGATTTAAATTTACTATATTAGAAACTCTAAAATTAGTTTTCTATACTTTACGTTGTAGTGTACGACTTTATTAAAAGAATGTCATAGCAAAACTGAAGCAGAAGAATGTTCAAAAGAATTTGATGAATGTATCAAAAGACGCTGTGTTACAAACGAATGTGATGAGCCGAGTTCCCGATGATATAAATGCTGCAATACTAAAATGCAGTTTTAAAAACATCCAATATATATATATATATATATATATATATATATATATATATATATATATATATATATATATATATATATATATATATTTAATCAATCCCTGTAAAATAAGTCAAATATTTTATTGTAAAAGTCAAATATCAATATAAAATGTTTTTTTGTTGTTGTTGTCAGTTTTTTTCACACAGTGACTTTAAGAAAGGTAAGTAAAAGTACTCTTGGTACTTAATACACGGTAAACAACGTTTAATTTTTGAAAAATTGAACACCCACCCCAAGTATATTAAGACCCACCTTCCCTGTTTAACATGTTTTACTTATTATCAGCAAAAAAACTTCATCTTATAACTAAAGGAAAAAATCTTTTAGTATAAACCAGAATTAAAAATTAGGAAAGATAAACTCACATATAAAAATAAAAACTTAATATAATAATCAATTTGATAATAATCATTATTAATTTGATTTGTCGTAACTTTCGATTCTACAAAGTACATTATACACATCACATTATTGAAAAACTTGTATAAGGAATGAAATTCTACTGAAACTATAATAAAAAATTTGTTAAAAAATGCGAGTTTTTGTTACAGTAGAATTGTATTCTTGTTCTGTATAAAAGCATAAATTAATTTAGATTTAAAAGGTTTTGATGATAGACCAACAAATCATTGCAGTTATTTATAAAAAAATACTTACATATGAAACAAATAATACTTACATATGAAAAAAATAATCATATATGAAACAATGAGACAGATCGGAGGAGAAACATTGGGATAATAATGGTTTAATCGGAAATCTTTTTGAGGATCAGTTTTAATAAGTGATTCATGTTTATATTTCTTTTTTAAAGTTAAGGGTGTAACCAGCTTTAAAAACCATTCGTTTCCTTCTGGGAAATTCTGCTTGTACGTAGTTAAAATTCATTACTCCCTCCGTTTATTAGAAATCAAAATATTAGAAATCAAAACAGGCCTTAGGTGGTACATCTATAAACAATCTTCATTTTTTCGATTTTTCACAAACATACTTTCTAGATATTTTAAACACCAAAGAAATCTAAAAAGACTTTTGTTTTTGTAAAAAAAAATTATTAATATTTAAAAAAACACTTTATTTTAAAGTTGTAGAATTTTCTGTCCCTAGCAACGCTCATAGCAACCATGTAAGAGTTTTAGAAAGCCTTGATAAATTACCATTTTTTTGGCAACATCACAGTTGATGTTTATACAAACCTCTATCCACTTTGTTTTTACTTAAAACCCATAACTTTAAACCGCATCATTTAAATTCATCCTAATAGTGAAAAGTTTGTTTCGCCATTGGTTGCTGTACAGCAATAAAAAAGATTAATTGTTTTTTTTTTTTTGCTGTTTGTTATTTTCAATGGCAAAAACCAACAATTTCTCAGAAATTTCAAAAGGATTTTGTGACTAGAAAAAACTAAACTCAAGAGTTCCTGAACATGAAAACAGCAATTAACACCAAAGATGCTATTCTGATTCAAAAACTCTCAAAAAAAACCTCTAGGAAAGACCATGGATTCTGATCAACAGAGAGTTATCAATGGAGAAATGAAAAAGTGGAGAGACATCTTGAAAGTGGTTGTTGATGTAATTTTGTTCTGCGCCACAAACAATCTTGCCCTTCGGGGTACAACAGAAGTCATTGGTCAATAAAACTGTGTCATTTTTCTGAACTTGATTGAACTAATAAGCAATTATTATCCTTTAGTGGCTGAACACATTGCATCTGTTAAAGCAAAGAAAACTACAACGTCCTATTTTTCTCCTCGAATATAAAATGATTTGAATGAGTTACTTGGGTAGAAAGTCAGAAAAGAAATATTGTCAAACATTAAATTAAAGAAGCTAAATACTTCTCTGTTTTGTTTGACTGCACTCCAGATTTCTCCCATAAAAAGCAGATGACCCAAATAATTAGGTATGTCCGCATCAATAATAAAGCCTGTACAATTTAGGAAAGCTTTGTTTACTTCATTGAATGTCACCAAAAATCGGAAAAAATCTTGCAACAGAGATTACTAAAAAATTAGAGAAAGACAGTTGAATGGCTGTTTGAGGTTATGTCTGCTGTATCCTCCGATTTCGACTTCCTCTGTGGGTGTTCACTTTCTAAAAATTCAGTGGATGAACTTAAGACAAAAAAACATATCTCAGATTTACACAATTTATCACAGATTTACAGATTTAGATTCTTCTGATTTTCAGTCAGAAATTGCAAGTTTTAAATATCAAGCTATAATATTTATATTATTGTATTTTAAGAACTAAGTTTTTTCTGTTGTAAGAGTCTAAAATTTTACAATTAACTAACCTTCTTTTTTTTAAATCTTTCATAATGGACCCATTTAAATAATTTAACTAAAAATTTGTTCTAAAATAATAAATATATTTTAGAGTAATTGTATATTATAGAGTAATTGTTTTTACTAAACCTATATCTAAATAAGTTAAGTAAAGAAAAATAAATGAATAAAACAGACTCAAAAGTACTTTTGTATTGTAGGATAAAACAGATACTTTAGGGCAAACCTTTTCTTTATTATTTGCATATATATATATTTATAAACTTTTTTTTGTGTGCCTGTGTCATTAAGACGCTCCAAGAAGTACTTACAAATAACCGTATTTAAATAAATACTTAACTAAGAATTTTACTTCTACTTCTTTGTCGCTTTTTTAATTTTTTGTTCGCTAACTCTGATCATTACAAAAATATGTAATGATCAGCGAGACGATTTTTGAACAAACTTTTATTTAAACCATAAAAGATAAATCTGATCGTTACATAAATGAAAGTTAGCTCAAAAATATAAAACAAACAAAAAAATAAAGTAAAATAATCATATACAATGTATATAAACAAGATTAAAATGTAAAGTAAAACAAATATTTTAAATTTATAAATATATTCTGAAAAATTTACAATTATTATGTTGATACTCTCGCGTGATTTAAATATCCAAGTTAAAAAATTGTTAAAAAATATCAATGGCTACTTTGAAATGTAAATAAATATTTCTTTTGAAATCTCTATAAATTATTAATCCTATTATAGTAAAAAAAAAATATAAATAAATAAATTATTTTAAAGTCTAGTATCTGGAAGTATAAATCTTTCCGATTGGCGATTCGTTGTGAATGTACGATCTCTGATGGGTTGTTCTTCAAATTCATTTTCAAAGTTCACCGGATCAAAATCATCATACTGTAAATAATTTTAAAAAATTTTAATGGATGAGATTAGTTTTTTCAATAGTAACACAAATAGTTGAAATTGTTTACTAATAAAAAAAGAATAAAGTAAAATATTGATTTACCAGCCCTGAATCTAAATCTCTTCTACTGCCTTCCATATGCCATATAAGATCGTCATCACAATAGTTATTATTTCTTTCGGAGTTAATTTCCTTAAAATAACCACGTCTCGGTGTAGAATTGCGACTCATTGGTACGTCACTGCAACGCTCCTATATTTTTATTGAACCCTTACAATAATTTTTAAAAGTTTTTCATTGTTACTAAAATACATGTATTTTCCATAAATGCTTAAAACAAATGTTACTTTTTATAAAAACTACATGTAGTTTCCATAAATTCTGAACAAAATGCATAAAATCTAATACAGAAATATGAAATCGAATAAACAATAAATTTTACTTACAAAACCTGATTGTCTGCGACATTCTGGACTCGTAAATTCGTTTAACGAAGACGCTCGCGACTTGTACTTAAATTTCATAGGCAATGGCTGACGTTCTCGGACGTACACAGACTTGTTTTTTCTGTATCCACGGCAACAACAAACAATAATAACAAATACGAAAAGAACAAAAACAAATGCACATAAAGCTAGAAACCATACAGTCTGATACCACATTATTTTGTTACTCTGCAATCCAGCTGAAGTATATAAAAAGTACTGTAAATAAAAGTAGAACTTAAATTACATAATGGATCAAAAATTAACATAAAAAATACAAACCTGACGGTGTAATTGCACCGGTTGTTGTGATAGTTGTCGGGACGACTGTCGGGATGTTGCCAACTAATACGCCTACGCTTGAGGTGGAAATTTTAACTGGAGTATTATTAACAAACGTTTCAGCTGTAACCACGTATGAATAATCTAAAATATATGAAAATAACATATATATATATATATATATATATATATATATATATATATATATATATATATATATATATATATATATATATATAAAAGCAAATAATGCTTGGAGTAAGTTGTAGTATGTTAAAACTCACAGGCAGGGGGGCGATTCGGTCTTGTCAAGTTCGTTGCACTTGTTCCACTGTATGCTAATAGGTTATTTTCTGTAACAAAATATCCAATTAATCTACTGCGTAAATCAAATACATTAGCCCATGAAACAATAATAGTACTTTGGTCGTTACTAGCTAGATAAACTAATGGTTGCTGAAGAACAACAGGGACTAGAATAAAAAGTAGTTTGAACATTATCAAAACAATAATGAAAATCGAATACAATAAATAAAAAACTTCATTAATGCAAGCTTACTCAAAATTCAAAGTTTTCAGAACTATAAGAATAGATACAACTTATTAACAATACCTTCTGATTCTGTAGTGACTTTAAGTACTTGAGAACTAGTACTACCCATAGAGTTCAACGCAATTACTTTAATTTCATATTCAGTGAACGGGGTTAAATATTTTAGCTTATATGTCTGTAATATACCAGAAGAAAATATATTGGATTCAACTACACAATTTATTTGGTTGGAGAGCTGAGGACAAGGATGGTATAAAAGTACATTATATCTAAAAATAATTAAAAACATGAACAAAAATGATTTCAAAAGTTATTACTCTTTAGTTTCTTATAAAATTAAAGTCTTACTGAATAATTATTCCATTTGGGTACTTTGGCACTGACCATTTAATTTCAATTTCACGAGAAGTCATAGAAACAAGTTCAGGAGGAAAATCAAAGCCTTGAGGAGCAGCAGAATCAGTCTGGAATGTTATAAATTTGCCCACTAAACACCCAACTTCATTACATCCATATACGCGCACTGTGTACTCTGTATATGGTTTTAGGTCAGAAACATTTCCTTGTTGATTAGTTGTAGTTATATTAAATTTAAAATTTCTAATCTCAATTAAATATGTTTTTATTGGAGACATAAGTTGGCTTGTAAGTATAATTTCATAAGCAAAAGAAGTTGCAGTTTTATTAGTAACAATCAATAAAATAGTGTCATCAGCAGATATTGTAGATACAGCAGACCAAAGACTAGAAATCCCACCAATGCTATTATTACAAGATACTTTATATTCATAGCGAGTATTTGGAACAACGCTAGATGAATTATCTAGATATAATGTTGATAGACCTTTATACAATTGAATGATATCATTTCTCTTTCTAAATAGTTCGCAAAACATAATTTCACCATTTGGTATGAGTGGGTAATCCCATCGCACAATAATACTATTACTACGAATTTCTTCGCTGAAAAAGTATGGAGCCCTTAGATTTTCAGGAGATGCTTCTAAAGTTGTTATTGTAGCTGTTGCACTAGTCACACAGCCCCCTGACTGTGTATCTGTGACTGACTTGAAGCATGCTTTTATTTGAAAATCATACTTTGTATATGGTGTCAGATTTTTGGCTAAGTATTGAAACACCATACCAACATTGAATTCAATATCAGCATACATAATTTTGTATGATGTTATTAACAAACTAGAACCATTTGGTGGTAACCATGGTAACCATGTTACATTTACTTCGTTAGATGAAATGGCTTGTAGTAAAGGAGCAGAGAAAGTTTCCTCCGAAGTTTTTACAAAAGCTAGTTTACTTTCCACCCAACCAACTGAATTAAAAGCAATTACTTTGTAACTATATATTGAAGCTGGATAAATATTGTAATCAATATAATTCAGACCAGTACCATTGTATAAAACAAGATTATCACGTTTCAAAATATAAAATAAGATAATGCCATTTGGCTTAGAAGGAGCAGTCCATCGCACTTCAATAAAATGTGTTCCAAGAACATCAAAAAATGGAGCACGTAAATATTCTGGAGGAGCTTCTTTTGTGAATGCGTCAACTGTGATACTAATAAAACAGTTTATATAAGAACATGCTGCAATATTGAACAAATATCTAGTAAAAGGTTTCAGATCTACAACAGTAAAAACAAATGCATAGCCTTCAAATATGGGAGTAAACTGTTTATTCATAAATAAACGATATTTAGCAATATCAATAGATAAGTTATTTGGTGTTAGCCATTCTGCTTTTATAATTGAAGAGCTTATAACTGTTAAAAATGGCGGTGAAATTATTCCTGCAATTAAACTTAGTGTTGTGATATTTGATGGGGGGGATAGGGTGCAACCAACATTTGTACATGCTTTTACTTTATACTCATATTGCATATTGGGTAGTAGAATATTGATATCAATATATGATAGCATAAATGTACTAATAATAAATGAACCATTCCTAACAACTTCATAATGATGAATCAACCCATTTGGTATAGGAGGTACAAACCATTGTATATAAACACTGGGGCCTACTAATGCAGTTAAATTAGGTTTCAAAACATACTCTGGAACACTTTCAGCAGTTGTGACTTCAACCCAATCACTTTCTATTATTGTTTGATCATTATATCCATAAATACGATAGCGATATTTTTGATATGGTTTTACAGATGTATCAGTACATTGAAAAGTAGTAGTAGTTGATTGAGATGTGATGTTTAAAGAACATATGATTATTTCACTGACAGATCGCTTATTTCTTAAAAGTGATAAACTTTCTCTGATCACTTGATATGAGCTGATATTAAACCTGTCCAAAGGTATCCAACTTAAAAGAATGACTGATGCATTTATAAAAAGTATTCCTGGTTTAGGAATACTATTTAATTTAATATCTCCTGTTGTATATATCTGTTCTAAACCAAATACACAGCCAACAGAATTACAAACCTTTAACTGAAATGTGTAATTAGTAAATGACAAAACTTTTCGCAGTATTGTTCTTCTTGAAATACCTTCATAAACTTTGATTGTATCAACAAAAACAACATAGTTTGTAATAATTCCATTACCTGAGGTTGGTTCATCCCATAACACTTCTAAACTAGTTGTATCATTTAAAGGCCTTATTATTAAATCTGGTATTCCACTAGGAAGAGCTTCAGGAAGACGAACTAAGACCCATGGACTGTAACTAGAACCAATAAAAGTGGAGGCAACCACACGGAACTCGTAACTATAAAATGTTTAAAAATAAGTTAAAAACTTATTTAACTCAAATAACATTAACCATTATATTCATATAAAAACACTCTGTGTATGACTTTAGGTAAAGGTCTTTTTTTTAAAAAATTTTAAACAAACTTTAAGATTTTTTCAATTAACCATGTAGCAAAAAAATATATATTATTTTCGTTTAAGTTTCTTTGAGGTTGTAAGGCTTTAAAAACACAAACTTTTTTTTTAATTTTCTTTAAATGTAAGGAGTATATATATATATATATATATATATATATATATATATATATATATATATATATATATATATATATATATATATACTTATATACTTATATATATACATACTTATATATATATATATATGTATATATATATATGTGTGTATATATATATATATATATATATATATATATATATATATATATATATATATATATATATATATATATATATATATATATATATATATATATATATATATATATATATATATATATGCTTGTATAGTTAGTTTGAATACTCACTAAAGTGAGTATTCAAACTAAATTTAAATACTCAAACTAAAATTTTTTAATCACTAAAAAATTTTAGTTCACCAAAA